TTGCCAATCCAGTGAAGTGTTTGGACAAGCCCAATTTGAATCATCAGCACATCCTGTCTCAGGTAAGCTTGGACTGGCAGAAACTGTTAGGGAACAGCTGTTCCCATGCATTTCTTTTATGGACAAATTAGCTGGAAAATCTGCCTCTGTTTAGCACAGAGAGAAAAATATTTACACAGACCACGGGGCCTTCTGTGCCTCACCGGGCTTGGGAGCCTAAAAGTGCAGTGCAAGCTGTCCTCTCTTTATCCACCTACATGCATCATCTGCATCCAGATGTGCTGGTGGGGAGGGGAGCTCTTTTTTAATGTGTTTGCAATGAAATCAGACTGAATACCTTGAATTTTTACCTTAGTAAGACATTACATGACTGATTAAACTCAGCACGGTGTTGTAATTATTGTCATGATTTCTGGTCACTCCCCATTATAGAAAGAGCAGACAATGATGGAGAAGTGAAACTAATCACAGCTATAATGAAGGAAGAATGGCAGGCTGGAAATATTTAGCTGAAAGAAGAGGCAGATACAGGGAAAACAAAGACACACAAGATAATGAGTGACATGAAAACAGAATGAGTCATTACAAGACATCATTCTTGTAGCAATGGATGGCTGGAAGCAATTCATGTGAAAGTGGGATGAGAAAACAACATTTTATACAACAAAATTAGCCTGAAAACGCTGTCATCTTATTGCAGGGGTTCCATACTTGTTGTCTCCTTATCACAAAAGTTTCATACCTGCTTGGTGTTTCTCACGGACAGCTCCTCACAGCACTGACTCTTTCCTTTTCACAAAGTAACCATCGGGCTCCAGTTCCCTTCTCACCCAGCCACCCCACTCTTTTATAGCATCTTCTTCTCATTGGTTACACCTGTAGCCTGTTAAAGTCAGGCCTGTTCCTAATCTTTGATAATTGGCCTAGCTGCAACTCCTTAAAGGTGTGATTACTTTCTACACTGTCTTTATTTTCTTATATTCTATCCCCCTACATGAAGATCTCACGGCTGAAAGACATTCCTAATAAAAAGCTGGCCAGTTCTTTTGCTCAGGTTACCTTTCCATGGAATGGAGTCACATAAGCTCATAATAAAACTGCAAACATGAGGACACACTCCTGCAGGCTCCAGGATGGAATAACCCTGGTGGAAAATGGACAAATCACCCAGAGCAGGGTTTTGTGCATCACTCTTAAAGGCATCTGAGCCAGCAAACTGCCTGAGACAGGCTGCTGGAAAAGTGGGAGTTTGGTGTAATCACAATTTCCAAACTTTTGATAAGTTAAACCCAAAATGACAAGTATGATATAAAGGCAGGTATATTCACAAAGTGTTTGATGAAATTTGAAACTTCCCCTTCCCATGTTGTTATACTTCATGGGTAAAGCATGTTATTAAACTCAATGCATGTTATTATACTTCATGGGTAAATTCTATTTCTTTTTGAAAACATCAAAACATTTACACTACAATGAAATATCCTCCGCTGCAATGCTAAAGGATGAGCGTGGCCCAAAACTAAGTGATAATTGGGAAGGACCAGTCAAAATCAAAAAAACAAACTGAAAAGTCAATTTGAAAAACCCAAAACACAATGGGGATTCAAAATTTAGAGAAACATGTTATCATCAAAAGTGCTCTACTGCCCTGGTAAGCTCTTTGTTAATTGACTGTTTTGTTAAGGTTCATTAAAGCTGGTGTTGTAGCCAATAAATCTGGTTGCACAGCTAAAATTCTGTTCTGTTTCTCAAGAGTTGGGAATTTCAGCTCAGAACAGATTTTTTTTTCAGTCTGTGGTGCTGGAATTGTGTTTACTGCTTTCAGTCACCATCTATTTTTGGATTTATTATTTCAGTTATTGTAATCACTACAAACTGTAGTCGTGCTCTACACCCTGGAAATATCTGTACAACATCCCTGTAACCTGCTGGGGCCATAGAGATCACAGCCACAGCTTCTGTGTTTGGAGCATTTAACTCACCTTACAGTCATTTAACACTGCTTTATTTCCTGCTCTCAGCCCAGCTTGGCAGCTCTGTCTCCAGAACATCAGAGATTTTGTAGGGCTCACTGTTTCACTCTGTGTGAAGTACTTTTCTATTCAGAAATGGGATCTTTTATTAGGAGGAGCAAAACCTGTCAACTTTTAGCAACCTACTCATAAATTTCAGTGGCACTAGGCACATAAATATGGTAAGTATGGTATGTAATCTTCCCATAACTATGGGTAATCATTAAACAATTATTAATAATCCCCCACAGAAAATGAAGGTAGTATTATGCTTTACAAAGTATAGTGTATAAATATTTATCAAAATCTACTTTATTGAGTGTGGTAAATCAATAGAAGCATTTATTATTCACTAAAAGCATATATAGAAAAATCTAAATAAAATATAGTATATAAGAAGAAGTAAAATAATAGAATATTATAATAATATATAGAATAGATATATAGTAGAATATAGTAATATAATAATAACAAATAAAATTAATATAATAATAATATTTATTATTATTTTTATTATAATATTATTATTATTATTATTATTAGTAAAATAATCAGCAGTATTCTGAAGTCCATGGAGACGGAAAAGAAACAGACTTGGGCAGGATATATGTTCCGATTGTCAAGTCATTTTTATCCCATTTTAAGGCTGTTCATCCCCATTTGGCCCAGTGAACACTAAAATCTCTCTCTCATCCCCAGAAGTTGATGATGATCAGGTATCAATGGATCCAACAGTTTCTGGCACACCTGAGCTGCTCCCTGGCACAGGGACCATCAACAATTGTTTGAGTATGAGACCTTTTGGAATATTTTATAAAATAAATCCTGGTCAGGAGTCAGTACTTCCCAGGACTCCAGGCCACCTCACACTGCTCTGATTAACTCTCCCATTTGACCAAATAAAGCTCCTAATACCCATTTACATTCTTCTCAGACTGAAAGCTGCCACACCTCAAGGAATTTTTTTTAAATTTTTTTACTGGGGCCTCTTTGTGTAGGGCAAAATAAAATTTTGCTCGTCTAATGAAGAATGGCAACTGAGTGATGAGATGCAAAGGCATCAAGTGCAACTCCTTGGATTGAGTGAGTGTCTGAAGCCAAACACCTTTATTAACTACCTCTGAACCCCAGTGGGTAAAGCAGGGCTGAAAATCAGCAAAAGAATGTACTAGCTCAACTTAATCTGTAAGAAATTCAGCTACTTAATAATAATTTCTTTTTCTGCATCGCCTGAACAGAAATCCCTTCCACTAGAGCTGTTGGTTTTCTTCCTTGCAGCTGTTCTCCAAATTGTTCTCACTTTTCTGACTGGTAGGGGAGCAAGCTATGCCCTTGTTCTGCAGGGGGAGAGGTTAATTTTAGCCTTCATAATCTCAAACACTGCTTGGCCTCCTCCAGGCTGCCACTGGGCTGTGAGAAGCTGGAATTAACCCTCACACCCTCAGAGCTTCACAGCATTCCATCCAAAAATGACACTGGAGGCCTTGGCTGGGCTGCTGGGGGTCAGCAGAGCCCAGGGCACGGCCAGGGCTGATCCAGGCACACGAGGAACCCCTGAGGAAGGCATTTTCCTGCTCATGCTGAGCATTTCAGTGATCAGATCCTTCCATGTGTGTCTTCGTGCCCTGGGTTCTCTATGGTCTGTCAGCTGCAGATTATACTTGCTGCAGAAGGGACGGAGGAGCAGTCAGAAACAGAAAATCCTGTTAAAAAATAAAAACAAGCCCTGAATTCTGATGGCCTCACAGCTGCCCTAAGAGGCAAAATATCCTGATTTTGGAGAATGCTGTCATCATCACAACATCAGCACCTAACAGCTCTGACTTCATCTCACACTACTTTGGCTTGCTCCAGACAGGATTCCCTCAGCTCTTCTGCTTCCATTCATCCAGGGCATCCTGTGATCTCCTTTTCCTTCCAGTTTCAAAGTCTTCCAGCAATCTGGGCTTTGGCAGTATACCTTTAGTGTGGAAATTTCCATTATGGGGAAAATTTGGGGAAATTTTCCTTTTTCCCTAAATAAACAAAGTTATAACATATTCTGAATAAAGTCTGTATTTTCTAATTAGCCCTTACAATAATCAACCTCATATTGATCAATGGCATTAAAGAAGTTAATTCAGAACATGATTTTGGACGTTCAGACACTCTGCCAGCTGTACTTACCTAGGCAGGGAAAGGTAGTGAGGGAAACTCTCTGGCCTAGAAATATGAATAGTTTAATTTAGAAGAGAATTGGGGTCCATGCTGAGCTGTGCAGTCACATCTCTGCTCTGCAGCTGGACACCTGGAGAGACAACTACAGACAGCAGCACAGTTTTCTTAAACAACACAGGTTCCAGCCCCCATCCTGGAGTGTAACTTCCATCTCTTCCTGGGAAAGCACTGAAACAGCAAATGCCCACTTGAAAAATCAAGTTAATGTCTGTACAATAAGTTCATGGGTTACGTCAAGGTGTGCAAGTTTTAGATCAGCTCTTGCAGATCTCATTTCACACTGGCTAATGAAGAGTCACAGAATCACAGAATGGTTTGGGTTACCTCAAAGCTCATGCAGTGCCATCTCTGTCATGGGCAGGGACACCTTCCACTGTCCCAGGCTGCTCCAAGCCCTGTCCAGCCTGGCCTTGAACACTTCCAGGGATTCAGGGAAGTGAAGTCACAGCTGCTCTGGGCACCCTGTGCCAGGGCTTGCCCACCTTCCCTCACAGGGAATAAATTATTCCTAATGTGCAATCTAAACCTACTCTCTGCTTGAATCCACTTCTCCCTGTGCTGTCACTCCATGCCCTGTCCAAGGTTCCTCTCCATCTTTCTTTCCACAGAAATATTGAGGTTGGAAAATCCCTGCCAGTCCATGGATTGGCTGGAGTCCCAGCTGTGCCAGTGCCCACCTTGTGCCCAGCCCAGAGCACTGAGTGCCACCTCCAGCCCTTCCTGGGACACCTGCAGGGCTGGGCACTGCAAAGCTCCCTGGGCAGCCCCTGCCAAGGCCTGAGCACCCTTTGCATGCAGAAATTGCTGCTGCTGTCCCAGCTGAGCCTCCCCTGGCCCAGCCTGAGGCCTTTTCCCCTGCATTCCCTGAGATAACCCTCCAAACCTTTCCCAATCCCTTCAGGCACTGGAAGGTCACAACTAGGTCACCCCAAAGCTTCTCTTCTCCAGGTTGAACAATCCAAATTTTCCCAGCATTTCCTCCCAGCAGAGCTGCTCCATCCCTCTGATAATCTGGACTTGCTCCAAGGGGTCCGTCCATGTCCTTCCTGTGCTGGGAACTTCAGTGCTAAAGGAGCAATATTGGTTTGAAATAGAAACCTGCCACTGTTGGTTTATTTTTAACACATCACGCTCACAGGGAAGACCTGTAAACAGCAGAAAATGGACTGAAGAAGTGAAGTCTGTAACAGAAAAAGAGAGAGTCAAAAAAAAAGGACTAAGCCTGTGAACATGAAACCCAGGAATTATTAAGAGCCATCTTTTATTCACATAGGCTTTTAAGACTGAAGGTCCAAGGCAGTAACTTAGCACACTTTAAAGCTGTCTACTCCAATGGGTATTGCAGTAAATTACTGCCATTTCCAAATACAATGTATGCACCTACCTATATGATTACTCATAAAATGCTGTATTCTAACCTAAACCAAATTTATCATATTTTATTAGGCCATAAATATAGGTATAATTATGTTTATAAATTACTTAGCTCATTTTTTCAGAAAAAAATTATTCAGGACATGCAGTATAGTGTGATATCATTCAAAAGCAGCAAGGCTATAGCAACGTGTGTTTCTGGCAAAATGAAATAAAAATGTATAGACAGGGAAATAAAACTCTTGTATTTACTATTAATGTTCTTCCCTCTACATTGACTATCAATCATCAAGGTATTAACATCACTCAAAAAATGGCATGCTGTGGGAAAATTATGCTAATTCATTCTGTAATCTATATTCCTATGAATACATGAAAAAAAGAATGGCACCAATTTTGGGTTCCCTCCCCCCTGCCTAGAAAATCTGATGGGTTATTTTCAGGAGGAGAATCTATACTGCCTTAAAAATGTGCAACTGAATTCACACTGAATGAATAATCCTCCATTGATGTGGAACCCCAGGACACATTCCCAAGTTTTCCAAACGTATTTTACAAATGGATTTGCTAAGTACTTGCCTTACAGGAATAATTTCCAGCTCCTCAGGGGAGAGAGACAGTGAAACTTTACTACACACAACAGCAACAAGCAGGAGTTAGTGAGGAGTTGTCACTGTCATATTTTCTGGAAAAATCCCTTTGCCAGGATTTCTTCTCTTGGGAAGTTGAGAAGCCTCAGAGAAAAATGAAAACAATAATTATCTGATTTGCTTCTCCTGTGTTTTGCTCCTTTGGAATGGGGTTTGGACATTGTTTATCAACTGGTCAATGTTTTATTGGTTTCATGTGGATTGTTTTTACTTAATGACCAATCAGAGTCAGACTGTGCTGAGGCTCTGGAGAGAGTCATGAGTTTTTCATTATTATCTTGTTAAACCTTCTGTAAGTATCCTTTCTCTATTCTTTAGTATAGCATTCTTTAATATAATATCATAAAATAATAAATTAGCGCTCTAAGAACATGGAGTCAGATTCATTCCTTCCTGCCAGAAAATACCACAAGGAGTGAGGGAAAGAAGGATCTTTGGAATTGCCAAGGGAGTTTGAAGTGTACAGTGTGGCTACCAAAAGTGGAATCAGACCCAAATCAGGAGGTTAATATTCCTCAATTACTTATCTTGGGTAACAGCAACACAGAAAACACACATATATCCTTTCCTCATCTTTTATGGGATTATGCAAACCTGAGAAACAGGGAGCATGTGAAGCAATGCCTGGAAAACAAGACAGAAATGGCCTTCAAGGTGCTGCCCCAAAATTCCAAACCATCCCTCACTCAGAGGGTATTGAAGTGCTTGGTGGAGCCCCTCTTCTTCCTTTGGTAAGGATTTCTAGAGCAATAAAGCTTCACTGTTGGGCACAGGGAGACTTTGCTTTCACTGAAAAGCATTTGGTGAGATAATCTGGGCTAAAGTGGAGCTTTGGGTTTGGCAATAGAGCTCTCATACTCTTTCCATCCTGTTTTCCAGAAAAAAACAGCAAGAAATCTGGCATTTAGAATTTCATATAATAAAAAAGGTAAGATGTGAATCACGTAAGTCAACATATTACAAAATATAAAATGTTATCAACGTTTTTGAGGCTGGAGCACTAAGAAGTGCCTCCACTTTGGCTTCAGATCAGCTGCAGGGAAATATGCTCATGGACCCTCCAGTGCTTAAGAAATGAATCTCTGTTCTTAACGAGCAATTAGAACTAGGTATTTAACCAAGTAACAGACCTCAGCTTCCAAATAATACTTGGAGTAGAATGCTCCCTTCAGACTCATTTCCCTGTGAAGTTTTACCTCCCAAAAAGAACACCCAGTGACTCTGAAGCCCCAAGGTGTCCCTCCAAGGCAGGACCCTCCAGTGCCTGGGGACCATTTCTGTCTGAGAGCTTTCAGGCACACTGCTGGCAGTTCATTGGTTTAAATTGCACACTGTGAGAAGGAAAAACACCCCCTTCCCAGCAGGTTATGGACCAGCAGGTCACACCATCCACTGGGACACACTTCAGGGACACGTGGGACTGGGAATTCTGTTTGTGTTTAGTGCAGAGTTATTTCCCTCCAAAAAAAAGGAGAATCCCAGAATAATTTGGGTAGGAAGGGACCTTAAAGCTGATCCTGTTCCACCCCTGCCATGGGGATGGATGGGATATTGGGAATTAGGAATTGTTCCCTGGGAGGGTGGGCAGGCCCTGGCACAGGGTGCCCAGAGCAGCTGCTCCTCCTACTTTTCCTGCCCCAGCTCTGTGGAGACCCACACTGGGTACCAAGTACTCAAATCTGATCAATTCCAGCAGAAGGAACATGGCTGAACAGGAAAATACCAACAATTTTAAGGTGTATTTGTATTTGCTGTACACTTGAAATGAAGACAGGTTTGTCAGATAAAGTAGTATTTTAAGTTAATTTTAAAAAATCAGTCTCACAAAAATATTTTTTTTTCAAATGTAGCATGAGCTGTATTTCTTCTGTCCACATAATCTCTTGGGAATCTTTATTTTGATTTAAATATACAAAATCTAAGCATTACTTTAGATTTTTTCCGCCTCCAGAATTTGTTAATACGTTCTTTCACGGTTTTTAGAAGTCTCATTTTAAATTTAGCAAATCAAACTTCAATTTTTTTCCCCCAGTGAGTTTGGCTAATGTAAACCAGCTGATATTGCTGTAATATCTTGAGCTCATTTTGCAATTTGATATGAAATATGAAAAAATACACAAAATTCAAATGTGCCATTAACCTGATTCAAGCTCTGCTGATACTCACTAGATATTTTACTGGTATTTGCCTGAAAAATGATCTTTGTTCTCCTTATTGCAATAGATCTTACTGAAACATCTATCAGGAAGCCTTTTTTTCAGTAACAGGGAAATAATAACAAATAATACAGTAAAATGTCTGTCAGATATATACTGCATTTTAAACATTTCTGCATCTCCTTTGTTTTCTTCCTAACAACTCTGTTTTAACTTTGGAATTAAAAGAAAAGAAAAGAAACTTGAGAGGCACAGCTGCCTTGGGTGCAGACCTGGGCTGTCACAGGTTTGATCTGGTCAGTCAGACTGGAGATGCCAAATGCACACCTGGAAAAGGAGTGCCCATCTGCTCATTCTGCAATTCACCTTCTCAAGTTTTGGCCACAGAAGTTCCCTCTGCCTCTACAAAACTGGTGCCCTTATCCAGCAGTGCCATAACTCCAGCTCAGCTGGTGGAAGTGGCTCAGCCAAGAGCCCCTGCAATGCCCAGCCCCTGCAATGGCCAGCCTGGGAGGACCAAGGCTTGGCCACCTATAAGAATACAGGAAATCTGCCTAAAAACAACACACATGTTCAATTGTCACATTCACATTTTCTGAAAAATCCCTCTGCCCAGGATTTTTCTCCTGGGAAGCTGAGAAGTCTCAGAGAAAAATGAAAGCAATTTTATCTCATTTGCTTCCCCTGTGTTTTGCTCCTTTGGAATGTGTTTGGAGATTGTTTCATTGGATTCTGCTGTGAGTTGTTTTGACTCTTTGGCCAATCAGGGTCAAGCTGTGTCAGGACTGTGGAGAGAGTCACAACTTTTAATTATTATCTTTTTAGCCTCTGTAAGTATCTTTTCTGTATTCTTTAGTACAATTTAGTATTCTTTAATATAATATAGTATCATAAAATAATAAATTAGCCTTCTGAGAACACAGAGTCAGATTCATCATTCCTCCCTTCATCAAGGCACCCCACAAATACAATATTCACATCCTGACAGTGAGCAGAAGATGGGGCAGAGCTGATAAAGGAACAAAGCAGTGATCCCACTGATAACTTATCTAAATCTACTCACTGACACAGCTGGCCTGAAGACCCCTGACTGATAGAAGGTTTCTTTGGACTGCAGAAACCCAGACCCATTTTTTAATCTTCTAATAAACCCCTTCCTGGGAGGATCTTCTAATAAATTCCTTCCTGGGATGGGTGTGGAATTCCTCCCTGGAGTGAGGATATCCCTCAAGCTTACTCCTGCAGGCTGAGCCAAAGAGATGTGTCCACACTCCTAGTCTGGGTGAGTGACATCAATCTCTACCTAATAATTGTTTTTGTTGGCTTTAATATAATTTTGTCAATATTGCCTTAACAATAGTGCACTATGCTGATAGTTATAGTTCCTGTACTGTGCAGTGAATTATTCTGATTAACATCTTTTATTCTAATCATTATCATAACATATAATACTTATATTTTTTCCTTTAAAAGGCAAAATTTTTCAATTTGCTGTAATGGAAACACTGGAGTACCTAGCTAATGACTACAATTCTAAATGACTGTACACATGTAGCATTATCATGAACAAGCATATATTGATTCTCAGAGAATAGAAACAGTTCAATAAAGTATTCTTCAGCATCAGTAATAAGGCGCTTGCAATAAAAATTCATTATTTTAAGGATAATTTACTAAATTTATACTTCCTTCTTTGAAGCTTGTTTGGCAATTTGCTTCCCAAGCTGCAAAATTAGACAAAGTTAATTTTTATTACAGTAATGTCAACCAGTATCAGAAAACTTAGATCAGATGGGTTTTTGGCAGTCAAAACCCTCCTTTGAGAAATGATAAAGAACAAACATATTTTGGCAGATGGGACTACAACATCTCCCACGGGCAGAATTTGGGCACTTTTTGTGAGGTTAAACATTCAGTGTTTCAAACAAGAGTAAATTATTTTCCTGTGTGTTCCTTTTGCCTGCCACCCACCCACATCCCTCACTATAAACAGCAGAAGCA